TAAAAGGCAAAAAGTGAAGATAGTTTTCTTCAATAGTACAGAAAGGCCAATCCATAAGCATATTCAGCATTTCACAGCTTTAAGGTCTGCAATTCAGTGCCACAAGCATCTTTCTTTAAAATTCAACAGAGATTCTATTCTCCACTTTTTCATAAAGCTTTTTGAAGAAATGTAGTTAGGGAAACAGGTTAGCTCCTCAATGCACTGAAACTGTTTTAAAAATGAAACTGAAAATATCAGTGTTACTGCTTGCTTAAAAGTTCTGTTGGGGAGAAAACTTCCTAGTTTAACAAGCCAACTGATTTTACAGAAAGCTACAGCAGGTACCCCTTAAGGCAGTGGTTCTCAACCTTTTTAATGCCGCGACCCCAACCGATCGTAAGTTGAGGACTACCCAACTGGTCGTAAGTGGAGGACTTTCCCTGCCCGGGAGTGCTGCACATGCGTGGTGCCGCCCCCTGCGCCGGCCGAGGCATAGCTGGCAAGCGGCAGAGATGGCACAGGCTGACCACCGGCTGGGCCACCAGCTGGCCCAGCTCAAGGGAGGTAAGGCACCCGCCGGGCCCCACACACACCAGCAACCCTCCCTGCACCTGCCGGCCTCCCACCTCTCACCCCTGGCCCTCTTTTACTTACATTTTTAGTAGTTGCTCAGCAGGGAGGGGTAGAAACTTCCAGACAGCTCACCTTCGCTGCAGACGACTTGCAGCACCGTTTGCAGAATAGGACTTTTGGTGGGCTCAGCAGGGAAGAGACAACCTGGACAATTCCTATTGGCTTTTGAAAGCCAATAGAATTAGACTCTATTCAATAGATTCTATTCTATTTTTTCTTGTATTTCCTTGTATTTTTGTTTTTTTATACATATATTATTGTTAACTAGTTTACAATTTCTTTAATTAATGTATTTAGATGTGTTTATGGTTTATATTTGTTTTAAGACTTTTTGAAAAAATATTAATTAAGCCTGTATTCAGCTCTGGGAAGGTCGGGGGAGGGCATGGGAGGGTTGGGGGGTTTGGGGAAGGGAACCGTATTGTTTTGTAAAATTTAAAAATTTTCAATAAAAAAAAAGAGATTCTATTCTATTGGCTTTCAAAAGCCAATAGAATAAAAGGGAGTAGCACAGCTAAGGAAAAGGGGAAAAAAATGGCAGACTGCATTGTTTGGCGACCCCCATGAAGTGGTCGTTCGACCCCAAATGGGGTCCCGACCCACAGGTTGAGAACCACTGCCTTAAGGGAAAGGGAATATAATATTGCAAAATTATTGTTATTTGTGATTTTAGTCCCTCCTTTGGAGAGATGGAAAGTCTAGAAACATGAAATATAAATATATGTAAATAAATAAAATGTTGTATTCCTTTGACTGTTCACTATCTCTGGGTTCTAACTTATATAATAATAGTTTTGATAAATAGTAATAAATAAATAAATAAAATAAAAAGTCCAAAACTCAGTATTTGGTAGCTTACATGAAAGTCCAGTCTTCTTGGCATGTTATGAAAGTAATTTCCAATGCCCTTTTCCACACTTTTTTTAAAAAAAGGTTCCAGTCTCGTCTATAATCCTGAAATCCCAAATATCCCAAACTGATTAATTCCACCAAGGAGAGATATGCTTAGAAAATTTGTGGTTTCAGATACTCAGCCTATGAACCCTCATACATGAAAATGACAGTAAAGTAGGATTACTTTTTTAAAAAAAAAAAAACTTTAAAAAGCATCATATTTACAAAAATTATATTTAAACAAAAATTCTTTAAAACCAGTTGAAACTTTCAGCAGCAATGGCTGCTAGATTAGATAGACAGACAGACAGAGAGATAGGTGATAGATAGGTAGTTTTTATTAAAAAAATTTTAAAAGGAAGATTAAAATCTAATATAAACTAATATAAAGTCAGAAAGAGAAAATAAAATCAAAGAGAAAGCTAAAACTGCAAGAAAAGTAAAACAAAGTAAAAGTAAAAACTGTGAAGAAAAAATACAAAGAAGTACAGTAGCTTTCAATCTTCTTCACAGCAATTATAAGTACATATTTACCTCTTACTCTATTCAGTTACAAGAGGCAACTCTCTTATTTCTATATCCTGTCTAATCATAAAAGCCATGAACCATAAGTTCATTTTTTTCTGTTTTATGCAAAACATGGGTTTTTTCAGTCAGCAATTAATGTAGATCTTGTCTTTTCTCTGAGCAAATAAGTCAATTTAGCCATCTCAGAAAATTCCATCATCTTCACTAACCATTCCTCCATTGTGGATAGTGTTGAATCTTTCTATCTTCGAGCATACAATAATCTTACTGCAGTTCTCATGTACAAAAACAAAATACCATGACTTTTTTTCAACTGTTTGTCCATCAGTCCCAAATCTCTGCTCTCAACTGTATTTTAATCTTTAAAATCCTCTGAATCAGTGTATGTAATTAAAATCCAGAATTTTCAAACTTTTTACATGATAAAATGTTCATTCTTGTTTACCCTTTCAACTTAAATTTTGAAGCGAGTTTATACATTCTAGATAATTTCTCTGGTGACATAAACAATGACTGTTCACTTTTAAGGTAGTATTCATTCAGAAGATTAAAGTTTTGGAATCTCTTGTGAAGAACTCAGGCAGTTAAGTATTGCCAACATTTTTATTGGAGTTTAATGATTCTGATTTCAGCAGTAAATTCTGCAGTGTTTATTTTTTTTTTTAATTTATACACTACCCATCTCAGTGTGAAGTGACTCTTTAGATTACAACAAGCTAAAAACTACAATATAAAACATTAAAACAATAAATATTACATTTAAAATTACAAAGATAGCTGAGGAAGGAGCAACATAGATCAGGGTAGAGGTAGAATCTTCTCTTAATCCACTAGCCACTTTGAGTAAGAAGCATCCCATTGGGACGTTATCATTATTGAGACTCAGCATTCTTTGGCTATCTTGAATGGCAAATTCTGGAAAGTGAAGCTCTAACAAGGAGTTTGTTAGTTGGGATAGGCTGGACTATGTCATTTGGCTACATCTCTGTTGTGGCTTGGTTTTGCTCATATTATCTATTGGTCAATGAGATTAATTGGGAAAATTATGATTTAGTACAGAAGGAATATTTCAAAAAGGGAAATTACAGCTTCTTGCTATTTAAGTGCACATTCCTTCCTGATATTTCCAGCCTTGAAGTTTATTCTTATTTTTGTTCTTACAGTATATTATCTATTATCAAAGGCCTGGAGACTAAAACATATGAAGAATGGCTGCAGGACTTGGGTTTGGCTAGTCTAAAGAAAAGAAGCAATAGGGGAGACATGATAGTAGTATTCCAGTATCTGAGGGCCTGCCACAAAGAAGAGGGGGGTCAAATTATTCTCCAAAGCACCAGAGGGAAGGACAAGAAACAATGGTTGGGAATTGATCAAAGAGAGAAGCAACCTGGAATTAAGAATAAACTTCCTAACAGTGAGGACAATTAACTAGTGGAACAGCTTGCCTTTAGAAATCATGGGTGATCCATTACTGGAGATTTTTAAGAAGAGGCTAGACAGTCACTTCTCTGAGATGGTATAGGTTCACCTGCTTGAGCAGGGGGCTGGACTAGAAGACCTCCAAGGTCCCTTCCAGCTCTATTCTATTCTATTCTATTAAAGAGATAGAAATATCTAATTTCTTTCCATTAATCCTGAAAGCACACACTCTCTGCCTTTCTCTTACATTACTCCTGTTTTCTAAGATAAACATAGTATAAGACAGTGGTGGCGAACCTATGGCATGGGTGCCAGAGGTGGCACTCAGAGCCCTCTCTGTGGGCACGTGCACCATCATCCCAGTCCTAGGCCTTCAGCTGGGTTTTATAAAACTTTTTCACTTTAGGCCTCCGCTGCCATGGGCAAAAAAAAAAAAGGTTCAATCAGTCAATTTCAACTTCTCGCGGGAAAAAAGAAGATCTTGCAAAGTTGGAATTGATTGATTGAACTTTTTAGTCCCATCCAGTCTGTTGTTACCACTGCAGCCACGCCCACCCAATTGGCCATGCCCACCCAATTGGCCACACCCAGACAATGGGCCACACCCACCCGGCACTTGACGATGCATAAGTGGAGTTTGGGTTGCAGTTTGGGCACTTAGTCTCTAAAAGGTTCGCCATCACTGGTATAAGACTTCCCATAGATATAGAAGATGATGGTAGAATATAGGTACTCCTCAACTTACAACCATTCTTTTACTGACTGTTCAAAGTCAGTAAATTGACTGTGTGACTTACAACTGGTCCTTGCACTTATAACCAATGCAGCATCTCCACAATCACGTGATCAGCATTTGGATGCTTGGCAACCTACATGCATTTATAACAGTTGCAGTGTCCGGGGGTCATGCAATAATCATTTGCAACTTTCCAAGTAAAGTCAGTGGGGGAAGCTAAATTCTGTTAATGACATTATTCATTTAAGAATTGCAATGATTTGCTTAACAACCATGGCAAAAAAGGTCATAAAATTGGATGTGACTCACTTCCTTACAACCACCTTGCTTAACAACAAAAATTCTGGTCTCAATTCTGATCATAAATTGACAACTACCTGTAGGTGCTATTCTTAACTTATGTTTTTCAACAGAGACATGCTGTTTTAGAAGCCTACTTGGAATACGCTCCCTCCCTCCCTCCCTCCCTCCCTCCCTCCCTCCCTCTCTCTCTCACACACACAAAGACCCCAAGTTAAATCTCTATCACTGTGATATTATTCCCTGTGCAATTTCTATTATTAATCCTTATCCACCAATGTATTATCTCAGCATCAATGCATCCTATCGTGCACATGTACTTGCTATTCTATGACAAGAATAGAGGATTTCTAAAACAAGGGATGGAACAGCAGGACTACGACCCTATTTCTCAAAGAGAGAATGTCTCTGAACTCCAGTCACGTTCTGATGAACCAGAAGCATGCGCACAAGCTGAGCCTGGAGCTATCCAAGTGCTGAAATTTATAGTTAATGTGTAAGATCACAGCCCTCCATTCCGGCACAGGGAGTGTAGCATTTTTCCTTTTCTTTCTTTTTTGAGCACAACATTAACCATGCACCTTTGATATTTACAACTTGCTGATAAAGAAATGGGTGAAAAGCAAATAGCCTCTCTCCCATTTTGAAAACGCTTAAGACAAATACTGATTTGTAAGCCCAAGGGAACTGTAGACAGCTCCGGAAGACAGACCAACGTGGCAGCATTATTCTCATCTCCATAATGTTAAGGTAGAGAAAGATTTGGTTTTCCTTTGGGAGGGTGAGAAGACATTCAGCATTTCCAAAAGAAGCTTTTTGGAGAACTAGCAGTTCCAGATGATTGTACCTTTTGTGTTGGCTTGGGAATGCTCTTTGGTTTAACCTAACCATGATTTTAAGGACTGATACTTTGGATGTTTTTTTATCTCCAATGTATGCAAACACAGATTTTTTTTCTTTCTGATTATAAAAAAAATTAAATTATTACTGGATTTGGAAATTTAATGAAGACAAGTACTTTCTGACAACCTCTTTTTACTGATGCTGGAATAATTTCTGAAATATATTTTTTTTTCCACATTCAATACAGAGAACAGGAGGAATGAACCGACAGCTAGTGAGCATTTTGACAGCCTTGTTTGCAGTTTTCCTAGAAACGTATCATTTCAGGTAGGTAAAATCTTTCCTTGTTTGTAAGCTTCTATGAAAGATGCAAGGATTTAGAGCTGCTTCAGGCTCACTATTCTTTTTGCTGAATCCGTACTCTGAGTATTTAGGCTAGATATAATTTTGTCATTGGAAATAGCTGTTGCTTGGTAACACACTTTAAAATTCCACACAACTTTAGTCTATGGAGAAGTTACTGAGGTACTCTTCCCTTTAGGGTACAATGTTTATGGGTAGCTAAAATATTTCCTCAGGTCAATGAAATTTCATTTATGTAATAATTTATAGCTATCAAACAGAATAATTTATTCTGGTGAGTGAAATGAAATTAATTTGTGGCTGTGGACATGCACTCAATTGTTATTTAATACATGTTAATAGTCCTGCTATATTAAAACCAAAAAGATAAACTGGGGTGGGGAGAAAAAGAGTGTCCATGCTCCTCATGTGTACTTACCCTTGCTGCAGCAGTTCTAGTCTATGTTAATAAAATCATGGAGAACTGAAACTTTGCTGGATTAACTAAAATAATTTGTTAATATAACTTCATGTATAAGATAGCTGAGAAACAGATTTTTACTAATGAAAAAAAATCTAAGAAGAAGCTACTGTCTCAATAGATATTAATCAAGAAGCATTTTTTTTATCAGTTCAGCATGCATATCTGATTCTATATACTATAGAAAGAAGGAGTGAATGTTTAAATGGGAAAATCAGTGTTTGGCCTTATTTATTCTGTTTTATTAAATGAATAATTCTGGGGGATAGGTGAATTGATAAATATGTATATAAAGAACATTAGAATTTAAAAGTATGAATATTAATATATCAATACAGTATGCCAATTTAAAACAGTGAGTTTTGAATATTACTCCATATGATTGTCATATACAGAATGTATTATTATACATTATTGTATATCCATTTATAGAGCTGACTAAATAAACAAAAAGGAAAAAAATCTTTGCTTAGGAAAGAAAAAGGTTTTTCTTTTTCTCAGAAGAAATGAACAACCAACTCATTTAATTAGTGCCTATTGTTTGATTGTTTGTTATTTTTATATGGTTTGAACACTAACATTGTAAAAGTGTTTGCTGAGTGTGTGATATGTTTGGCCAGACTTTCAGAGATAATGTAGATCCATAATCAAAAAGGAAATATATGACTCTGCTCTGCAAATATAAACATTCTTTGAAAATAATTAAATGAAAATTTTATGAATTAAATATATTAGTGTGATCTTTTTTTGAATTTGATTCCAAAAAGTTTGATGTTCTTCATTGTTCTGTAAAGTTATATTAACATTACACTTTTCCAGTGAAAGTGATGTAACTACAATATTACTCATGATAACTAATATTTTATCTAGGACAACTTTCTGTAAAGAACATGATTCCAGATCTGCAAAATCCCCTTCACAGACACTGTCTCCTTCAGATTTCTTGGATAAATTAATGGGGCGGACATCAGGTTATGACGCACGAATAAGGCCAAATTTTAAAGGTAAATCCTTTTTAGTACATACAAAATTGTTTGTAAAGCACACGTTGTGATAAATGAATATGAAGATTTTCAGGTACATTATTCTAGAACAGTTGTCACCTATCTGGAGCCCTTCAGTTAGTTTGGATTTTCTGGGAGCTCCGTCAGTACTGACTGTTAGTCATAAAAGCTGGAGCTGAAGGGATTTGTAGTCTAAAGCAATTTAATTTGCTTCTGATGGGAACTGTATTTAAAATATATGGAGAGATTCAGATGGGGAAATCTTATGTAGGATAAGATATGCAGGAGTATTGCTTTCACAATAATTAGAAGTCTATATTTCATACAAGTAGAAACACCAGAACTAAAATAGCATAGAGATTATGTAATTTTGTATCTCTTCAAATGTTAAATTTTAAAAAATAGTTGATATATACAGTTTTATATCTTCAAACACCTGAGGCAGAGAGAAATTTGGTATCTGAACCATTTAGTTCTGTAAAGTTTATTCTATACATTTGATCATGAATATATAAATTTGGGTGTAAAAATGCTCTTATGAAGATATTTCTGTGATTCATTACATGATATTTTAGTTCTCCAATGATAATCCATCTACGAATCAGCTCTAAAAAGTTCAGTATTCAAACAATAAGCATGACATCAGAACTGACTACTTTTGAGTTTAGCGTCACAGAGTTTTGCTGGTGTGAACAGGTGGATCATAGCACAAATCTAAAATTGCATAGCTAAGCATCTCCCACTAATCATGACAATATGGTACAGGATTAGTACTTAGAATGTATTTAAGTTGAATATATATTAATACTAATGGAGACTTTGTAAAATTAAATTAGGTTTGCTTATTATCAGAAGCAATTAATTTTGAAATGGAAGTAGATACAAATATATTTGGATTCCTTTTGTTAATCATAACACAATATTTAAAATACATATTCTAGGTACTTATTATAGGTTATGCTGTAGATTTTAGTTTTTTTAATGTATTCCAAAGTAGGTAAATGGTGATTAAATGTGTAGGATATTCAGTTCTAATGGAAAGGAAGAAGATTTGGAAGATGGAACCTCTCAATTTAAAATACAGTTATTTGCTTGTATATTTATAATGTTGATTTACTCTATATTTACGATATCATTATTGGTTTTCCATTTCTTGTCTAGATTTTAAGTTCCCTTCAGAATTTAGAATATCTTTATATATCCATATTTTATTGAGACTGACTAGATTTGGATGTACCAATGCTTCCATTTTGAGAGCCATCCTGGAGTTTTCAAATAGATCTTACATTTTATTTTTTCCCATGTTAATAATAGTGCATTTCTAATATAGTGGTTTTGGAAGTATTTATGTATTTTATTTTTTCCATACCAAGCATGCCAACCAAGTTGTAGGTCATGTCCCTCCAAGTACAACAATCTTTTATTTCTAAGAGTTATCCATTCTTTTATCCATGTTAGCACTGATGCTTGATAATATAAAACCATTCTGGCAAGCCAAAGCCTCCATTTCCCTTAGCTTCTTATAACATTTTCAATTTAATTCTAGCTTTCTTTTCTTGCCAGATAAATTTTTGAATTTAAATCTTCAAAGAATTTTTTTCTCCAGTTTTATAGGTATCGTTTGGAACAAAAATTTTATTTTTGATAATATATTTATTTTCACCGTAGCAATTCTTCCTAATATTGACAGTTGCAGATTTTTTCATTTTTCCAAATCAAGCTTTATTTGATTTAACAATTTAATATAGTTATCTTCTTTTATTGTTGAACATCTTGCTGTCAGATACATTCCCAAGTGTTTGATCTTCTTGACTATTAGCAATTCTATTTTTTCTGATAGTTGCTTTTTTTGTTTATCTGTAAACTATTTAACTATCACTTTGGTTTTTCCTCTATTTATCTTTAGTCCTGCTATCTCTCCAAATTGTTCTATCTTTTCCAACAGTTTAGGAATCGTCTCTAAAGGTTCCTCTAGAACAGGGGTGTCAAACTCAATTTCATTGAGGGCCACATCAGCATTGCGGCTGCCCTCAGGTGGGTGTGGCCAGGGTAGTTGCGGCCTACTGAGTGGGTGTGGATGGAATGAATGTCGCCTGCTGGATGGGCATGGCCAGCTCTACAGTGTTCGTGTCAATGCTGCCTGTGGGGGCCTGGACAGGAGTGGGACAGATCTGAGGGTCTCTGGCAGAAGGGGATGGGACCAGGACCACTTCCAGGTGATGATGCATTTCTTCATTCCTCACAAAGGGTGACACCTCCCCAGCATGCAGCCAGGTGACGGGGCTGACACAGCAGGAGCTGGTTCCTTGCTGTTTCCAGACGGCCTTGTAAAGCTAAGACTGAATGCGTTTCAGCATAGATGGCCACCACAAAATTGTACATTGGCTCCCTCCTGGCCGGCCTGGGCCAGGGCCAAGGCAGTGGGGGCCGTTCCCTCACTGTTTCCAGGATGGCTTTGCGGGCCACATGAAACCACTTCATGGGCTGCATCCAGCCCCCGGGCCTTGTGTTTGACATGTCTGCTCTAGAATAAATACCAAATCATCTGCAAATGCTTGCAATTTTAGGTTTCACCTTTTATTTTCAATCCTTTAATTTCTGAATCTTGCCTAATTCTTGTGATTCTTGTTCTTTGTATTTTTATACTTACATCTGCAGCTGCAGAGCATAAATTATATAATGTAATAGACAAGAGGTGATATTTTCATTATCAACCTTGTAAAAAAATCCCATATATATTAAACTGATATTTTATAAATCAGGAGCTGTACACTGAAAATGTTATACTTTTGAAAATTGGTCTGTCTTCCATTTGTTCAACAGTAATTCATTATAATAATCTCCCCAGAGAATAAAGTAAATGTTTCAAAATATGGAAAGAAATATAATTGATTATATTGAATACTCTGCAATCAAATTGTTTCTATGGTTAAAATGGCTAGTAACATTTCAGGTACACTGTACTGTCCCCCTTGATAGCAAATGTTAAATTGTTGCTCTGAACAAGCTACTTCAATCATAATCCCATACCTCTCACATATGGTCTTCTAGAAAAAACATGTGTCACCCTCTTCGCAAACTTCTAATAAAAGTAGTAAAAGCAGGTTACTTACTACTGGTATATAGAAACCACTCAAGAGTTATAAGAAAGGCAAGAAACTAGAATGCCTCTTCTAAGAAACACCTCTAGTAATTGTGCCAAATCTCTTAGAGCAGTTTACAACCTGTAAAGCAAGATTCTCACAAATTCAGTATAGACATATTCATTACAATAATCAGTAGGGATTGTTTACAGAAGATTGGAAACAAAATATGTATACCTTCAATTATCAGTGAGTATATAACATGGGCCTTCTTGGTGCATTTGATCTTTCCAACTGAGTTTTGGTTTAATAGGTAGGATACCAAATATTTATTTGATATTTTAAATATTCCATTTATTTTTAATCTGCAATGTTTTCACAATACCCACTTTAATTTCCAAGTCAGAGAATTCCATCACATAGTCTGGATTATATATCACAGTAAGCCAAGAGTTGGTCTTCTTCTTTATTGCTTACTTGCTATGTGAACTCAGGTATTGTACTTTGTATTTTATAGCTTATGATTTATGTGAACTAAGCCAATCATGATTTAATGTGATGTGTGGAACACAATAATATGAACACTCAATGTAAGTTACTTGACTTTCTAATTTAAATCCTTTATTATTTTTTATGAGGCCTATTAAGTATTCTGAAAAATGGAGTCATTTATCAAACTCTTGGCTAGTGCAGTTCAGCTCTCCTAATGGGGATTTTTCCTCTTCCCTAGAACTACCTATACACCTTCAAAATCTGCTTTGGAAAAATGAGGAAAAGTTTACGGATATGAAGATTGCTTTAGGAGGGAGATCACCCCCTCCCATACTATTTTTATTGATGGAAGCATATGACTAAATTTCATACTATATTTTAATTATATTGAATTCTTTAGACAAGACTGTTCAAACTGTTGAACAGAATTTGCACACAACTCTTTATTCTATGAAGTTTAAAAGTTCCCTTTTAAACTCCAAAGCATCATCCCACATTACTCAAATTGACATAGGAAAAAAAAAAGCTTTCTTTCTTGAAGCTTTCAAAAACTGCCTAACATAACAGCTGGAAAGCAAGTAATTGTAAAAAAAAAATCTAATTTTGGGATTGTGGGACTATAGCTGTGATTCAAATATATCTCATTTGTTGAACTCATGTAGATTTTCAAACTGCCATATGCAAAGATATTTCAATAGAATATATACAAGGGTACTTTAGGAGTGATAATGCTTACTTAGTTGTTCACATTTCACAATAAACTGCTTATTTGAATTTATAAAACCCTGAACATTTTAAACAAGAACAGTAGCTTTAAAGCAAAGGGACTAAAATTAATCATGTATAATTAGCTTTTATTTTTAGGCAAATAATACTTAAGAACAAAAAACTCTTTTTCTTAATATCAATATACTAGTGTCTCTTTCCTATCACTAATTATTTAAAAAGACCAACAAGCTAAATAGGTACTGTTGAATCAGATTGACTCTTTTTAACTGCAAACCCAAACACCCTCCATTATGACCAGACCCAGGCAACAATCCACAAATCTACAAAAAATATTTCAGTGATAAAGCTGATATTATCTATCAGTGCCAGCCCTTCAATGTCTCTTTGTCTTGCCAAGCATAGTTGCTTTTTCTAGACTTAAAACCATTTACAACAGATGGCCAAAATATGTAAATTTGTGTTTGTCAATTATTGTTTCAGGGAAAGAGCTTTTATTACACTGAGGATCAATTGATTAGTTCTTGCAAATCATGATAATCTTAAAGTATCATCTCCATATTCATAACTTAAAGCAATCTACAGTATCTTCCAGAACCTACTTCAAGGGAGAGAGGGGAAAATAATGAAGCAAATGTGCTATTGCAATGCAAGCTTTGCCCCTTACATATTTGCATCATAATGCTTCCGCCATGCACA